CGACTGCGACTGCGACTGCGACTGCGACTGCGACTGTGACTGCGACTGCGACTGCGACTGCGACTGCTACTGCTACTGCTACTGCTACTGCTACTGCTACTGCTACTGCTACTGCTACCACTACCACTACCACTGCCCATACTGTTACCACTACCACTACCACAACCACTACCTCGGCGACTGCCATTGCTGCAATAACGACAACCACCACGACGACGACGACGACGACGACCACTGCTGCTACTACTTAGTTACTTGTAGTACAGGAGTACGGTGGTCAGGGTGAGGAGTAGGGGTGGGAGCACGAGTAGTGGTGGTCGTGGTGGTGGCGGTGGCGATTGTGGTTTTATTCATGGGGCTGGGACCCGAAGTCGGAGCAGCGGTAGCCCTCCCTGTCGCAGTCGTCCTCGTCGCAGTAGCAGCATGAATACTTGTTGCTGTTACTTGTGAAACCACGCATGATGATGCGGCCTGCTGCTGTTGTTTATTTGTTCTACCCCTGCTAACATTGATACAGTCGTTGTTGCTGTAGGCTATATTGGTTCGGATGTTGGCTTTGAAGGCTCCTGCTAAGCAGACACATCCCCCTACTGCCCATGTTCACATCAGGCTGCGAAGCCAAGTGCTGCTCGTGGCCAGCTGTGTCTCAAGCAATGGCACCTGGGCGGTAAATCCGCGGCTCCTGAACCGTCTACACTATCCTGTCGCGCATTCAGGATGAGCACACGAAGGCTTTCGTACCCGTACAGCTGAGATGACCCCGTGGTGCTACAACTCCCTTGCGCCGGCCATTGCCCAGAATTTTGCACTGTTCCGAGGTTCAAAGGACGTCAGGCCGAGGAACATCGCATCACACGCACAATTTGGCCCGTCTTTCTTGTTCGCAGGTTGATTCTGATGTAAAGTGGTTTGTTGTTCAAGGGGGTCACCTGCTGGCCTGCTTGATGCTGGGAGGACAAACAGAAACCCACTAGCACTACAAGGGTCAGGCAGTCAGCCGAAACTCTGTTTGCTTCTTCAGTAAAGTTGCCCTACACCTTGGCCTTGAGGGCGTGGACAGCCTGCTCTTGCTGAATTTGCTGTTGGAATGGGATACGTAGGGTTCGAAGTCTTGCCGCTGTAGGGGTTCGTGAGATTTCGAGAATGCTGAACGACAGCCAATCCATCTCAGAAGCTGCTCCCAAGCCTTCTGACGCTCAGAAGTCCAGACCACCTCAAATCCCCAATGTGCCCAGCACGCAAAACCTCCGAAAGACAGGGACTGCAAGGAAGCCGAGATGCAGCAGCACCCTCCTCGGCTTAAGCTTGCTTTTTCGCGAAGAAAGTGCCATGGTGCAAGAGGACGGGAGGGCATGCGGCGGTCTTCATGCACAACCCGTCAATGCTCAGGGCCCAAGTCATTCCTTAGCAGCCGAGTCGCCGTCCCTTCCGTTCGCCCTGGCATTTGCACGTGAGAGCAAGATGCAGGCGGAGAGATGGAGAGACAAGACAGGGAGGGAGAGACAGCAAGAGAGAGAGAGAGCCGGAAAGAGGCAGGAAGAGACAGAAGAAAGAAACAGCTAGAGAGCACAGCTCCTGCTGGAAGGGTTGGGTAAATCTACGCAAGCGGCGGTACTAGCACCCAGGCAATGACGCAGTTTTACACATTCACAAGCTTTAGAGCTGCTCCTGCCGCTACAGCTTTCACTTAGTCCCTTCGTCAAGACGAGCGCGTCTACCCTGGCATGCCGTGGCGGTGGGTATTCTTGCGGTTTCTGATCATTAGTACAGAACCTTTCTTCTGAGAAAGACAACCGGCCTCATTGCAAAAGCAACAACCTTCAAGACCACAAGTTTTCATTTTTTTGTTAAACACCGGAGCCGAAAGACAGCCCTCGTTGCTGACATCACGACGACCAGCATGTCAAAAAAATACGGTGGCACAGAAGACAAGACAATGCAAAGGCACACCATCGAAATGTCCGGACTAGCAGTCCGAAGTACAACTGTACCACATGCTAAATGGCAACCCTGCGATAATGAATCGCTATAAGAACAAAGTGAGCATACCCGGAGCGCAGTGGTATGGAGCCCAACGACAGCGCCCCGCCTGAGCCACTTGTCCTCCAGAAGGACCTCACGATGTGCTTCCGGTTCAAACCACCAACATGAAAACAGAGTTTCTTAGAGTCAGAGCCCTGCTGTCACACTCAAGCTAGAAAAGACAATAACCCATCCAGTGAGACAAAGCTCGTGGCCAGCAACGCATGAGAGCATATACACATGTCACAAGTGCTCGCCCTCTTTTTTGACTGACTTTAGAAAGAAGGGGTGGACTATCCAGAGCATTACAGAAAAATTTTCAGCTGCACGGGGCTGGTTCTCAGTGTTTGAGGAGCACCCCGCTTGGAATACAGCAACATGCTTTGCATGCTGCCTGAAACCACAGATGCAGCAGTGGACACGTCGCGACGTTGTCCTATTGAGTGGCTGCAGTTCAAAATGCCTGAGAGGCATCAAGTAGGGCCGAAAACCACAGGGTCTGAAAGCCAAGCTCACATCTCAGTGCTTACGATCACAGCTGGAGCATTCTGATCCTGTGACCGCACCGTCGAGGTTCTGGAGGACTGACGGCGCGAGGGCTGCGAGGGATTCTGTCCGATTCCAGCCAGTGTTGCAATCAAGGACACATTCTCAGACTCCTGCCGAAAGTTGACCAGGTGTGCGAAACGCCCTGCGCGGTTTGCGAAGTCGTCCATCTTGTCCTCGCTCAAGGGCAGGTCTGTGACGAAGATGTCCTCTGCATCCATGTGTTCGATCTCGCTGACGACGAGTATTCCGTAGATCTGCAAATACTGCCAGAGCGGATTCCCGTGCTGTTTGACAAGCCCACAGAACTTGTCACAGTCGATCCCATTGTAGTAGGCAGTGGTACCGCCATTTGCAGTGAGACGTCCGCGATGGAGCCACTCAGCCCAAAGGCATGGCAGGCACAGCACCTGCCCGGGGGAGACGATTTCCGATTCCAGGTTGCTGAATTGCCTGGCAATGTAGCCCATACTGCCTTGATCCAGCAGGTAGACCTGCGTACACTCCGTCCCGGGCATGAAGGCATCGTTTCCCGGGGAGGCGATATGCTCGACCATTGCCAAATGGCAAATCTGCCGGTGGATCAGGAGGTCATCCTCGTGTCTCCAGCGCTTCCAGATACACAAGGATGTGAGCGAAGCCATGAACATCTCTTCGTGAAGCATGACCTTCAAATGTTCGGGAACATCTTGCAAGAGCTTGACATCTCTCTCCTTGAGTCGGACATCATACATCCCTTGTCTCCTCAGAACATCATTGATCTTCGAATAAGTATCGGTAGAAAGGTTCCTGTCGTTGAAGAAGCGCACCAAGGATGAGTGGTGCTTAAACTGCTCGGCCCTGGAAGCCATCAAAGTAGTGACGGTTGCAGTGATGGAGCTGATAAAAGAGGAAAAGGTCCCCATGGCCAGAAGGATGACCCAAACGGCAAAGAATCGTTCCATAAAGTTGACGGGCGCGACGTTATTCGTTGCCGGTGTGAACTGTGTAAGTGCCCAGTGCACAGATGTGGCGTACGAATCGGTATATATATATATATATAT